GCACGTGGCCCCGCAGCCGACTTCGGGGCCCCTCCCAGCCTAGAAAGGGCCGGGCCCCGTGGAGCTCATTTCCCCGTAAGGGACCCGTGACTGCAGCGTCTCCGGCACCTTCTCCCCTCTTTGCTCAGCAGAACCTGAACCTGGTGTTTGCAAACTGATGGTGACAGGTGACCAGGAGGCCTTTTTGCAGGTTCAGGCACCCCTGGGCTGCTGACAGCTGTGCTACTTGGCCTGTTGCTCCTTATATTTTCTTCAGCTAAACCTTCCTGAGGGAGCCCAGTGTGTGAGGCCATCACGATAATGACAACTGCCATTCTCTCTCTCTCTCTGTCTCTCTCACGGCTTTCTTGAGATATAATTCACACATCAAAAAATCTGTCCTTTTTAAAGTGTGCAATTTGATGATTTTTAGTGCATTAACAGAGTTGTGAAACCATCACCATCTAATTTTAGAACATTTTCATCACCCCCCAAAAGAAGCCCTGTACCTGTCAGCTATCACCCCATCTCTCCTTCCCCACAGCAACCCGTAATATACTTAAAAAGACATTTTTAACTGAAGTACAGTCAGTTACAAAGTGTCAATTTCAGTGTACAGCATATCGTGATATCCTTTTTGTCTCTATGAATTTTCCTGTTCTGGCCATCTTGTGTGAATGGAAGCCTACAACATGTGATCTTTTGTGTCTGGCTTTCACTTGGCGTGTTTCCCAGGTTCATCCGTATCAGCACTCCACTCCTGCTGAATAATATTCCATTGTACGGATGTGCCACATTTAGTTTATTCATTTATTAGCTGATGGACGTTTGTATTGTTTCTACTTTTTGGCTGGTGTGAATAATCCTGCTGTGAACATTCATGCACAAGTTTCTGTGTGAATACACATCTTCAGTTCCCTTGGGTACTACCTAGGCGTGGAATTGCTGGGTCATATGGTAACGCTATGTTTAACCATTTGAAGAACTTCCCAACTGCTTTCCAAAGCAACTGCACCATTTTACAGTCCCACCAGCAATGTGTGAGGGCTTGCCATTCTCTTTGGATGTTCATGACAGCCTTCTAAGATTGGGGTATCATTTTAATCTACAACTAAGAGTTAAGGGCACTAAGACTCAAGAAGGGTAAGTAACCTGCCCGTTACTTCCAAATGCCAAGCTCTTCCCTCTGTGACCCACTGCCAAGTGTTAACCCTGCATCACCAGTGAGCAACTGTGTTTCTCACCCTTTTACCTCTATGCCTGCATCACCCTGATAAGAAGTCTTTCTGTGTTGCAGGACGTGTCAGGAAATGCTGCATTTCTGGCCTTCACTCCTTTTGGGTTTGTTGTTCTGCAAGGGAACAAGAGGGTCCACTTCATTAAGTGGTGAGTATCTTCATTTCCAAAACAGGCTTTTTCTACTTCACCACCTGGGGAGGGCTGTGGTTCCATGTCCTTTGTCTGTGGTTGGGCGAGTGCTGGTTCTGAGCCCTCTCCAAAGCCTTGCATCCATAATGGTAACCGATGAAGGTAGTGGTCTCTTCTAGGGATCCTGTTCTTCCAAAGAAAGGGGTGTTCCTGAGAGCCAGCAGCCTCTCCAGAGAGAGAAAGGGTATGGAAAGTTGATTTCCGTGTAGGATGAGAGGTCTAGGGCTGGGGCCAGTGTTAGGGAAGCCAAGTTCTCATGAGAACCGTCCTTGGGACTGTCCCCCGCAGCGGGCCATAGCATCTGCATGCATGTTTACTCATTACCTACTCTCCGAACGAAGGAAGGCCCACAGTGACCCCTGGGGCAGACAGACGTGACTGTTGCTCTGGCCAAATACCCTCCTCGAGCCACCTCCCTCTGTGGGTACTGCCTGTAAGAGCAGAGATGCTACTGTCTCCTGACCCTTCTCAGGGCTTGGGTGTCCTGAGCCCCCAGGAGTCACATCCCCACTCGTCCTTCCCTTCCACTCCCACTGCCTCAGCTGCAGCTACTCGGAACTGCTTCCCCTCCGCCCTGTCTGTCTGGGGTCTATTCTGCTGTGTCAGCGGCAGACGGGTTTGTTGATGGACACCTGGCTCACCTAGAGACCCTTTTCCTGGCCTGTGCAAACCTCCTTCAGCTTCATCAGAACATGTCACATGTTCTCCTAAGCCCCTGTGATTTCTGAACCTTCCTGGGCCTTAGACTGCCAAGTGTTAGCTGGCCAGCTCCTCCCATGGGCTTGGACAGGGGGCTTTCCTTGGCCCAGCAGAGCTCAGCCGCGGAAGCCTGGCCCTGTTGTGTTCCCTCTGCCTTCTCCAGATCTAACGGAGAACCTGAGGACAGAGCGCCTCCCTGGCAAGCTTTCTGCCGCAGATACTGCAGGGCAGCTGTCCTCCTCCATCCCCCGCTGAGCCTGTGGGCAGACAGCACCTTTCCAACCCTCATGGCTCTCATGACGATTGGCAGTGTGGTGTCCCCCAGGGTGCTGGTGAAACTGCTCCTTGCACGTGCCCAGCCAGGCCCCATCCCCCAAGAACCCCCTTCACAAGGCGCCTGCTGCACTGGCCTCACCACTGTGCACCCCACATGCCCATCTGCTGGGCCTTCTCAGGTGGGCCCTCTCACTGTGCACTTTGGGTAAAGATGGTGAGGGTGTGGGGGTCTCCTGTCCAACAAGATACTTTCAGAAAAAGACAATGAGCAGCGTCAGGCCACTGCTTTCCTCGTGAGGAACACTTGCTGCCTGGAGACCACTGGGTTGTGTGATGCTCCTTAGAGGACCCGGATCCTGGGCCACACTCTGACCGGGGTAGCTGTCTTGTGAGGTGCCTGGTAGGGGGCATTTTGCTAGAAGCAAATAGGACGCACATGTTACCGGGGCCCGGAGTCTCTAAAGTATCCCTGCCCTCCAGGAGCCCTGCTGCGCACCGGCTTGTCCCAGGGCCTTTCATTCTGTGACTTCTCTCACGGCCCACTTCTTCACGAGGTCTCCTCTTCATCTGCCTCAACTTTAAAATAACAGATGTAAACTCAATCTCACTTCCAATAGGAAACATCTTACTTTCCTATCTTGCTTGTTGGTATGTTAAGTATTCTGTATGTGTCTGAGAGAGTGACTGGGAGGGAATCAAAGAGGGAAGGAGTACCATGCGACTTGCATTAGCTCAGGACTGGTAGTCAAGCTGTGAACTCTCATCCTGACCCTGCCGTGACTTCCAGAGAACAAGTGACCTTCCTCTGTTCCCTGGCTTTTGTCCAGCAGTAAACTGGATACATGGTTCTCACCACCTTCTGCTGCTTCCTAGGATGTTGAGCTAAGGTATCCGTAGAAATTTCAAAGAGGAAGAAGCCAAGAGGAGGCAAATGTGCGTGGTCAGACCTCCTTGGGAGTCCCAGTTGCGGAGAAAAATAAGGCCTCTGCCCCCAGCGAGGTGGGAGGGCCTTCAGGCTCCAGAGGGTGACTGTGTCAGGCAAAGGGAAGGGAAGTGAGGGGTGCCCGACGTGAGGCCTAGCTCTCTGGCTCTCGGGGACATCCACTTAAGACCCTGGTCATTTTTGCATTTTGTAAATGTAACCAAGGCTGAGAGCAGAATGTGGAGGTGAGGTCTAAGCCGTGCCATGTACAGTAACCATGTCACTTCTGATTTGTGTCTGTCCTGCGGGTGATGTACCCCAGTATCCTGTTTGCCTCTTTTACTGCAGCCATTCACTGGGCTGGTGGCTTCAAGGATTTTTCTACAAAAACCCCTAAGCCCCTTTCCTGGTCAGTACGCTGCATGACTGTTCCATGTAATCTGTTCTCTCTCTTTGGTATGTTGCCCTGCCCCCTCCCTGAGATCGTTTGACATTTGTCTGCATTAAACTGCATTTTCCATCTAGTGGCACAGTCACCTGAAAGACTCAACTCCCTCAGAACCTGGTTGCATTGTTTTTCATTATTTGCTGTACTTGAACTTTGGCCTCATCAGCTACCTGTGGCATCTTACGTTTGACAGCCCCATCCAGATAATGCACCTGTGTTATGAACCAAAGCCTGAAATGGCCCAGGACCACTCACTTCCCATGCAAGTCTCCTTTTTACAGCCACTGTTGATGAGCCCGAAACCCTCCTATCACCCTATTATTATAGTGTGATTGACCAGAAAACTGTGGATTGAACTGTTTCAACAACTGTTCTCTAAGGCCACTGCGCTGCTGTCTTGTTTCGGTTCTAATTTTGGCTAAAACTGTGTCTGTGCCTGGAGCCCCTTCCAGTCGGGGTGGGCTGTGCATCTACAGGACTCGGCTATGAACGGGCAGCCCCCAGTGAGGTGACTGGTGCTGTCTTTGTGCTTCTAGGAATGAGGTGACCAAGCTGAAATTTGAAGGAAAGACTTTTTATTTATACGTAAGTCAGAAAGAGGTGAGTGCTGGCTTCCTTCTCTTCAGGGAGGGCTGGGGCACTGGGGTGGTTCCTGATGGCCAGGGCTGAACCACAGTGGTCCATCCACCCAGGTAGAGCTAAGCCACGACCAAAAGCAAGACCTGGAGGTGAGGGATGGAGAGGGATGGATGCTGGTGACCCCCAGAGGTTCCATACCTCCTGGAAGTACAAAGTAAGTCTTTGGCTTCCATGTGAAAATTCCAGGAAGATAATAAAAACAAAAAAAGAAAATTCCAGATGAGAAAGCCACTTTCTCTGGTGAAGGCTCACCTGGTTCAGGCTGTACCAGCTGAGACTTACCCTGATCGGCCCTGCCAGGTGGGACCTTCTGCACTGTCCTGACCTCTGCCCCGTGGATGCTGCAGGCCTCCTCTTCCAACCAGCCAGCCGCCATGCTGCCCTTTCCTCATCTGAAGCCTCTTCCTGAGTGGTGGGGAGCCCCCAACAGCTCAGGGGTCAGTGTCCTGGCCCACTTCACCCTTTGCTTCTCCATCCACACTCAGGTGTTTCTATGTGGGATTTCTTGTAGGAAAAGAAAATTATTCTCACATATTTTGCTCCAACTCCAGAAGCCTGCAAGCACCTCTGGAAATGTGGGATCGAGAACCAGGCCTTCTACAAGTGAGTGGACACGTGCACCGGGGGCTGTCTTTATCAGGGCCAAAGTCATAGAAGCTACTTTTAGAGGAATGGTGTGCAGGAAACTGAGAGACGTTGACAAAGGAGACATGACGTGACAAGGCTAGGCTTTCTTATAAAGCTCAGCCCCCTTCGCAGGTGTCTGTCCGTACCACATGGAGGGCCAGAGCTGAGGTCTGGGAATGTGTTTCAGCAGACGTGCCCAAGGGGTTTACCTCGCTATGTCCTTGGACAACCCCCAGTGGCAAAGCAGTTCAGGGTCCTTTCAGGGGAAGGCTAGGGCCAGAGAAAGCCCATGGGTGCCTGGCATCAATAAAGCTGGCCCTGTGGAGCCACTCAGAGCCCTGTATTCAGGCCCAGAACACAGCAGCTCCAGGAAGGAGCAGGCATAGCCCGGAGCAACTCCCTAAGCCTTGGAGAGACTCTGGGGCCTGCTCGCCAGTGGGTGGCCTGGTGCTGAGCTGGGGTTGACACCAGCCCTTCCTGGTGGGTCACTGACAGAAGTTTGCCAGTGCCAGGCCGAGTCCAGGTGCCTGGCGGGGGGGGGGGGGTAGTGGAGGGGCGGGGGAGGCAAGGACATATCTGTTACTGAGATACCAGCTTTGGGCCAAAGGCAAGAACTTTGATTACCAAATGATTTTGTAAAGTAAATTGAGGCTTTTGTGCTCAGTTTTCTTTACGAAAGTGGTTATAAAAGCATTAGGGAGCAAAGATATAGCCCATCAAGAAACTGGGGTGATCCCAGATATAGTATGTTTCACTAAAACCCTTGGTCTTGTTTTAAAAATAGTGTACAATGACTGATGCTTTAATAAGCTGCGTCTTAATCAGGACAATGTAAGACAGAGTGTGTGGCATATTCCTCCCCTGACAGGCCATAGTTCTCCCCCCAGTAACCTGAGGGATCCTGGAGAGAGCTGCTCCAGGCTGCGGGCACCGTCCTCCTCCCCACTCGGTAGACTGCGACCTGCTCACTGCTATGGGCAGAACTGTCTCCTCCCTGGTGCTCCAGCCAGAGCCCTGGGGCTGTTTCTTTGGCAGGCTTTCTGCATTGCTTTGTAATTTCTATGTATTTGAGACCAGAATCAGGGGTGAACTGAATGGATAGCCTGAATTCTAACCTGAGTGGGCTTCTTTCTTCTCATGGAGAGGATGCTCAGCAGACTTTCACGTGGTCACATTTCCCTCCTGTTCAGTCCCTGGCTGTCCAAGGAAAGCCAAGGAAACATTTCAGCATCCTTTCCGGAGGTCTTCCTTTGTTTTTCCATCTGTGTCATGGGAGCAGAACTGTGCTTCTGCACTGTGACTGAACTCAGTTTCTGGGTCTTTCCTTAATAGATCTCCACACCTAACGAGCCCTGCCAACACCCACACTGGAAACCAAGGTTACTTTTCTGTTTTCCACTGACTACTAATTCAGTGTTAAGGGCTGCTAGCCTGGGTCAGGTCCCCATTTATGCCAAGTTTCTGGCAGCAGCCGCTGTGGCCTCACTCTGAGTACCTCTCTTGTGAAGATCCCTGCCCTGCTTTTGGCCTAGTGCTTTGAAGGGAGCTGGCTCAGACTCAAGAATATGCTCAGGCAGGAGGGCAAGTAGGCTCAGAGCCTCACGGAGCCCTGGGACAGGTGGGGATGGTGTCCCCAGCTGTTCACGGATTGTAGGGACAACTCCCTAAATATTCACGGCCCGCCCACAAAGCGTCAGACCAGACGGGTCCCTGGCTGGGCTAGCACTGCAGGCACCCAGGCCGTGTTGTGGGCAGAGGTCAGGGCTTAGGAGGGTCACTGGGCAGCTCTGCCCAAGCTTCCTTTTCTAAGTGTGTGAGGACGAACAGGATCAGAAGTCACCCAAGGGCTTAATACGGCCTTCCAGTCTCCACATAGGCTGTCTGCCGCCTTGAAAGTGATACTAATGGGCGTTCTGGCGGAGGGCAAATGGTCCCAAGTTCAAATACATGCTGGAACTTCTGTTGAAGCTAGTTTCATGACAGGCTTTCTCGGTCTTTAATAGGGTGACGTATGTTAAACCCTCCAAGGAGATGGGGATAGGAAGGGCAGCCCCTACCCTCTTCACCCAGTTACCCAGACATGGATACGAATCATCAAATACTAGGACTGTAAGGGCCTCCTGAGATCAAGTAGTCCCCGCTCCATCATTTTATAGATAAGAAGACTGAGGCCGAGGGGAAAAGAAATGTGCCCAAGGTCATACCGCTAACCCGTGGGCGGATGACGTTCTGTTACTGCCCCAGCCCACCACCCCTAACGTTTATTCTCTCAGGCCCCCTGGTGAATCCCAGGAAGCACTCGTGGGGAGCCCTCACCCTCCTGATGTAGAAGGGGGTTTCAACATGACTGTCCCCAGCACTGACGCCCTGAGCACAGGAGAGTCAGAGACAAAAGGGACTGTGAAGGGCCTTTTTCTGAAGTTTCCCCAAGTAGCCTTTAAGGAGCTGGAAAAGTGCTGCCCTAGGCTGTGAGGCAGTTGCAGGCCATCTGTCACACTGGACTTTGCCTTGCTGCAGGCTGGAGAAGTCAAGCCAAGTCCGCACAGTGTCCAGCAGCAATTTATTCTTTAAAGGGAGCCGGTTCCGATACAGGTAAATAGTGACAGTAAGTAACCGTTATGGACCTATTTTTAGACCCTTCTCTGGAGAACAGTGGCTCAGTGGTCCTTACCCTTGAGAACAAAGACACTGGGAGCCTCCAGAAAAGCATGAGGTTTCCATCCAATTCTCCTGTCTCCTAACCCTTTGACTCTTTCTTTCTATCCCTGAGGCTGTTTGTCTGTGGGGCTTAAAATGTGTATTGTCTCCTCCTGCCCTTAAAACAGCAGCAAAATAAGAGCTGTAACAGTGATTCTATTCATGTCTGTCTAAAGAGTTTTTGCAATATTTTTGGAACATGCTGGACAGTGAGGAATCATTCCTAAATGAGAATGGAAGACCCCAAAGACTTCAGAGAGAGAGGGAGCTCTCTAAGAAAGCCATCAGGACACCTTAGAGCCCTTTACCCCAGCCAGCCTTTCTCAGTGACCTAAACATTGGGAAGGGGGAGGCCAAAGAGGCCACTTCCCAATTCAGCCAGAGTATCTGAGGTCTTGGAGAGGAGCCCAGTCCTGGAACACTGTCTCATTCCTTGCTGCTTGTTTTATTACACCAATTCTAGTGGCCGAGTTGCGAAGGAGGTAATGGAATCAAGTGCCAAGATCAAACGGGAGCCACCGGAAATACACAGGTAGGCTGCCAGGGGCTTCCCCCAAAACCAAGTCCAGCTGAGCTCTCAGAATCTTAAAAGAGCCAGCAGTGTGCATACTGTGGGGATTCTGGCTGTGATGGCTCCTGAACAGAGCAGGAGGGTGAAGAGACCCATTTCAGCTGAGGCATGGGGAACAGTCTGGCCCGGGTTCCCTGAGCCTTGATGGAGAATGAGGGAGGGCAGACTAATGCAGATAGTACATCAGACCCGGGAGCCACCTTCCTGGGTAATTCTGTACTGTCCTCCCAAGTCCTGAAATTGGTCGTAGACCATGGAGGACATGTCCATGCAGCAAGATTCCATGGGTTCTAGAATCAGTCCATTACAGGAAGCCAGTCATACTAGGTCTGAAATAGTTTTGGGACCCATGCTTTATGTAAAACCGTAAATCATGCATGTCCAGAAGCCCATCTTCTCGAACCTGATCGACCCCGGAAAAACGTGACTGGCCAAGAGGGCCAGGGTTTGCCCACCAGCCTGACCTCGGGGAAGGGGAACAAGTACTACCTGCCTTCACATCTGTCGCCTCTGTTGGAGGTCAGGGGAGGCCGCCATATCGGTCTCAGGCCCATTTTTAGGAGTAGGGCATATCCCGGGCTCTCCTCCCTGACATCCTGCCCAGAGATCAGTGGTGCCGTTGCCACACTAAAGGAAGATTCAGGTGGGTCTGGGCTATAAGGAAGTTGACAAGCAGTGTCTCTGACTGGGCTCCAGGGACTAAAGGCAAAAGGCAGGCATTAAAGATTTAAAAAAAAAAAACACAAAATAAAACAACACAGCTAGGTAGGTTCTAGCGACCACTCCTCAACTCTGAGTCCTGACCTAATCTGTGCGCTGAGTTAACAGTTCCCTTTTTCTTTAACCTCAGAGCAGGGATGGTTCCCAGCCGCAGCTGTCCCTCCATAACCCATGGCCCAAGGCTGAGCAGCGTCCCTAGGACCCGGAGAAGAGCTGTTCACATCTCCATCATGGAAGGTGAGCATGAGCTCTGGAGGTGACACGGGTTCCTCTAAATTATCACTTGGACCAGTTCCTCACAGACCTTTGAAAGAAGTGAATATGCCTTACAGACAGCGGCAGGTTTCTCCAGGGGTAGGGAGAAGGCTTCCTCCAGTGGGTGGGCACACCAGCTGGGTGTCAGGTGAAAGGGAATTCCATCAAGCCCTGCTGAGCTGTGGTCCAGGAGGGTTTGGACGTCTGAGAGTATGGGGCTAGACCTTTGGGAGAGACCTTTGTGAACGGAATCTACCACCTTCCATGCAGTTCTGAACTTGCCTTCTGTCAAGAAGCTTTCACTTGTGTTCCAGATCTGGTGACCAGTCTCCACAGCTTAAATGATCAGGCTGGCTGAGGCAGTTACACAAGAAATTAAAACTCTTGCTCTGAAGCATTCCAGTAGCTGCAGCCGCCTTCTACTTCAGTTGTAGAAATCTGTCCTCTTGCTACCTGAATTCTTTAACACTGTCTCAGGAAGCCCAACATGCCCCATCTCTCACTGCTGTTCCCTCCATCTGGAGGAGGTGGATGGAGGCAGGAGGAGAGACAAAGTCTGTGTGTCTTCACCGAACGAGATACCCCAGCTGAGGCTGACGCCGCCCCCACCTCTGGGCCGTCAGTTCTGTGAGTAGACTCGCAATATTGCTCTCCAGCTGTTGTCACTGAGCCGGCTTGCCCGACAGGCTGGATACAGGTGTACAGTGGAAGCTTTCATTCCAGAACATGCCATTTTGTAGGACCTCAGAAAATCTCAAGCAGCAGGACACAGCGGGAGGATTGCTTCAACCCTGTCTCTGTCCTGGAGGCCGGGAAGGGAAGGCCCTTCGCCCTCCCTGTGGGAATGCTGCTTGTTGATGAAAGTGAAGACCCGCTTAGGTTAGGAAGGAGATGGCTCTGCCGCTTGTCCGGGAGGCTCTCTGGTTTGATGTGAAGCGTCACTGACTCATTCTGTATCACCCGAGTGTGATCTGTAACTACACACAGTCAGGGGGTTGGGAACCCTGGCTGCACAACCACCATCAAATATCTTAACGGGTCCATTTGTAAAACCCCAAGGGTTTCGAGGAAGCTAATGTATGTGCAAGTCCTTTAAAGAGATGAGTGCATTTACTGGGCAGGCAGCAAACACAATGAGAGAGCCCTGGTCAGGAAGTTAAAAGATGAGGTCGAAATCGGAGCTTGGCCACGCATTGCCTGGGGGCAGATTGCTTAACTTCTCCGAGCCTGTTGCCCCCACCAGAGAGCAGGCTATATGTAGGAGGGTGCCTTGTACACTACCGGGCGTAGTTGCCATGCAAGGTATAGAATCACCGTGTCCTCAGACACAGCCTCCTGGTTTTCCCCTATCTTAGGCCGATTGGAAAAATTAGCCTGGTTCTTGCTGTCCCTCTTTTTATGGGGTGTGCATCACAGGAAAGTAGAATGAAATTTCTTCTCTTCTGAGCAACATAACTTTCTCCCCGTCTGTGGCCCTCGTTCCCATCCATCCTGAGGCTGCAGCGGCCAGGTTCATCCCAGGGCTCCTGCAGAAAGTCAGGACAGCTGTCCTCCCAGAGAACAGGCGCCCCCTAGGGGAAGCTGGCACTTACTGCAGTTCTCACATAGTAGAGGAGCCTTATGCTCTTCTGCTCCCTAGCATATGGAAGAATGTCCAGTAAACCAGCATCCTCAGAAGAGGGAAGACTGAGGCCGTCCACATGGTGACACACCTCACTGGGAGCAGCTGCCAAGCAGGGTTAGCAGGACAACTCAGAGGTGCAGAGAACCATCCTCGAGCTGTGAGGCTGCCCCAGGCCCCTGCCAGCTCTAGCTGTGCCTTCAGCCTCCTCCCAGAACCTGTCTTCCCCACGGTAGCAGCAGTGGGCTCCTTGACATCCAAAACAGTCACCGTGCTTGCAAAAGGCCAGACAGGGTGCAGTGGGGAGAAGCCACTGTGGAAGGTATTAGAGCAGAGACCCCTAGGGCCAGGCACTGCCTCACAGAAATTCACACCTGGCAGATTATAGCCCAGCAGGCTCCACGCGTTACTCCCCAAACCAGCCTGTTCCCGAGGCCGCCTGCTGACAAGCCCCGACTTCATCCCCAGTCAGGGCCCTCTGGGCCCATTAGACTCAGGAGGGTGGAGGTAAAAGCTAAGAAATGCCCTGGCGGGAATGAAACTCACAGGCAGAATGAAACTCAGGGTGAGGTGAGGCAGATGGACATCTGGTTTGGATGTGGAAAAAATACAAGATTTCACTAGCTAAGTGGCTCTGTCAGTACAGGGATCATCAAGCCTGGGGAAATAAAGACTGGATTATTTCAGGAGGCTAGAGTTCAGCTGCACCATCTCTCAAGAGGGGGTTTTGCCTTTAAGCACCTACCTAACACAGCTCGTCCACCCCAGCCAGGCAGGGAAGGGTGAGAGGGATGTGATGCAGAACTCAGAAAAATGGCACAAACCCTCAAAACCCCAGGAAGTTGTGAACATTTGAAACTGGTTCGTGCTCCATCATGAACTGCCTTTCCTATAGTCCACAAGGCACATAGTATCACAGACCCCATTTGCCTTTTCTTGGGGAAAGCTTTGTTTGCTATCTCCAAAAACAATGGGGAAAATTGCAGAAACCATTAACATGACATTCCAGTTCGAATGAAACCAAGTAATCAATGAACTGAGACCCTTTAAAAGATGACTACATTGATTGGCCCTGCCCTCTGCTCTCAGGGATGCCAGGATAACATAGGTTATTTTTTCAGGCCTGACTTAGAGAGGACACTCAGGTGTGTCAGTTCCTCTCACCCACACGCCCTGGGGGGCACCCCTCGGCAGCCGGCCGAACAGTGTGGAGCCCCATGGAGGATGGGACACAGCCCCTTTCCAGCCCCAGAGCTACCCAACGCAAAGCCCATTGTCTTTGTAGCTTCACATCTTGGATTTTCTGGACAGTCTTGATTCCCCCTACCCTCTGAGACTGTCCCCTGTCCTCTCTCAGACCCTCACCCTCTTAGAGGTCTGGGGCCCTTATTTGGGCCTCAGGGAAACAGCTACAGGCTGGAAAGCATTACTTTTTATGGCTCTAAGTGCTTCTGACTGGTCAGTGCCCTGATAACGTTGGCCTCTGGGAGCCGCCCCTTCCCTGCAGCTCAGCCTGCTCGCTGAAGGTCGGAGACTCGCGGCACCGACCTTCTCTCTCCAGCACGGGAGGCGCTGCAAAGGGGCTGCCACGGCATGAGATCAGTGAAAATCCTTTGTCGCTAGCTGGTTTTCGCCTTCTCCTACCTGGCTGGTTTCCATGAAGAGATCAGCTGGTTTCCACTGAAGAAGTATCTGCCTTCCTGGGCCACCATGGGGAAGAGTCTGATTAAGATTCACACCAGAGTCCACGTTCAGCTCCGGTTGACTAATCACTGCCTTCGGCCCCTGAGTGTGCGCATCCTGAGGATGGGGCCCCGGCTCCGGGGTCGGCTCCTAACCGCTGTGCCCCACAGCCCACTGGGAGCCACCTCTGGGCAAGGCAATCAGCTGGAGCACCTCCAAGGTAAAAAAAAAAAAAATACTCCTCCGTTTTGCTGTGCTATTTGCCCAGATTACCCCCTGCAGCAGAATAACAGGTTTGAGGTGGGTGGTGGTTTCTAGTGCGACCTAAAGTTCTGTACAGGACTAACCTGGCACAGGAATGATAACCTTACAGGTAGGGTCTGTTCGGGGAACAGAAGACTAACATTTACTACGTAATTTTGTTTATCAGGAGCCCCACTGGAAATGCATACATAGCCATTATCTTGTTTACTGAGGGCACCAACAACTCACCATAATACAGCTTCTGGTGTCTTTCTGGTGTCACAGCCTTTGCCTCTAACCTTCCCCAGCAAGCCTAGGGCTGACTTGTAGGCCAAGCTAAGATTGCACTGAAGTGGCTTCTGGCAGCTAAGCAGGTCATACTTTGGAAGATCTGGCAGTCAGAGATGTCCTTGTGAGGTGCCCTTGGAAAGGGTATGAGGTGCCCTGTGCAAGGGAGCCAGGTAAGGGTAGCCAGGGCAGTAGCTGGGAAAGGGACTGAGCCAGCAACATGTGTGATCAGAGCCCGAAAAGCTTTCTGTTTTATCAGGAACCTGTTACATACTCCCAGGGACATGTTCCTCATGCTACATGTGCAAACGGGAGTGAGGGAGGAATGCTGGGGAAAACGGAACATCAAGGTCTCTGGAACAAGGAAGAGGCTCTTAATTTCACCTTATTTCAAAATAGTTTCTCTGGTAATTGGGACCTAAATCTAAGGCAGATGCAGGCCGTTGACTTAATTCACTCTGGCCCACTGTTTTGCTCCCCAAAATCCAACTGCATGATTGTTAGTAACATGGAACAGAAAGAGGCTTGGATTCTACCCTTGCCTTTGCATTAACAATCAACCTCATGACTTTAGGCAAGTTCTGTAACCTCTTGCCCTCACCACTCATGGAGCTGCTGAAAGATAAATGAAAGTGTTTTAAAAGTTTAAAACATTAAACAAATGTAAGATTTTATAGCATAGGGACAAAGGAAACACAGCTGGGACCATGGAGCTTCTGAAAGCAGAAGCTGAGAGCTGTGGCAGATACACTAATGATGAGGGTGAAGGGAAGGAGAGGCGGATACAGGGGCTGCCATCTCCACCCCCCACTCCCCAGCCACTCACTTAGAACCAGGGGTTCGTTCCTCTGGAGAATCCCTAACCGCGTGGATACTGAGACGGGCTTCAGTAGACTAGGCGGGGAGGCTGCCTGGGTGAAGTGGCTACTGACAGTAACTGCAGAAACCCAGAAGGTGAGCTCATGAGCTCAAAGAGCTGTGTGCTGGGTTGTTAGGAGGACATTCAGCTCCAGAATCAGTATTTGCTGAGGCCCAGCTGGACAAAACACAGTCCTCCCCATTCTTGCCTCTCAAGGCCCTTGGCCCAAGAGGCAGACATGAGCTCCATGAACCGTGACCTCAACTCTGGGTCAGGGATAATCTGCAGTTCTCTTCAAACTGGGCTAAAAGGCTGGTGGCCAAGATGGTAGAGCAGAAGGAGCCAGCACTCACCTCCTCTCATGAACACATCAAAGTCACAACTAACTGCACAACCACCATCAATAAAAACGACTGGAGCCTACCAGCAAAGATCTTCCATAACTAAAAACATAAAGAAGCAGCCACAAGATGGGTAGGAGAGGTGGACCTGGGATACAATCAAACCCCACACCCCTCCAGTGGACGACTGACGAACTGGTGAATATCTATATTGTAGAAGATTTCCCACAGGAGAGTTCTGAGCCCCACGTCAGGCTCCCTAGCCCAGGGGTCCAGCACCAGAATGAGAAGCCCCCAGAGTATTTAGCTTTGAAGGCCACCAGGGTTTAACTGCAGGAGCTCCACAGAACTGGAGGAAATAGAAACTTCACTTGTAAGGATGCACACAAAAATCTCAGGCTCACCAGGACCGCAGACAAAATTTCATAGGCTACTGGGCCAGACCTACCTGCTGGTCTTAAAGGGTCTCCTGGAGAGGCAAGGGTGGCTGTGGCTCACCCTAGGGACACAGTGGTGGACATATCGGGGAATATTCATCTGCATGAACTCTCCTGGAGGCTGACATCTTGCTTGGTACCAAGACCTGGCCCCACCCAACAGCTTGTAGGATCCAGTGTTGGGACGTGTTGGGCCAAACTAAGAGGAGAAACATCCCCACTCATCAGTAGACAGGCTGCCTAAAGACCTCCTGAGCCCACAGCCACCTTTAGACATGGCCCTCCGGTAGGACCAGCTCCAGCCATCAGTGGGCATACCAGCCCCTCCTGCCAAGAAGCTGGCCCAACCCTCTAGACCAGCCTCATCCACCAGAAGCGAGAAAACTATGATCCCACAGCCTGGTGACTGAGTCTGCAAACACAGGCCAGATGCTGTCCTGGCACCTGCTGGCCCCTGGCCCTTGGGTGACAAGAGGGGAGTGCCCTGCTTGAGATGCATTTGACACCTCCTACAGAGAGCCACTTCCCCAAGGTCGAGAAACATGACTAACTTACCACAAACGTAACAATACAAATAGAAATTTAGACAAAATGAGGCAGCAAAGAAATGTTCCAGACAAAGGAAGAAGATGAAATCCCAGAAGAAGAACTAAGTGACGTGGAGATAGGCAATCTACCCAAGAAAGAGAAAATGATTAGTAATGATTCAGTAATGATTGTAAAGATGATCAAAGAACTCAGGAGGAGAATAGATGCACAGAGAAAGAAGTTAGAAGTTTTTAGCAAAGAGTTAGAAAATATAAAGAACAACCATATTTAAAGAATCCAATAACTGAAATGAAAAATACCCTAGAAGGAATCAAGAGTAGACAAATGAGGCAGAACAGATCAGTGAGCTGGAAGACAGTAGTGGAAATCACTACTGCAGAACAGAAAAAGGAAAAAAGAATGTTGAAAAGAAATGAGGATAGTTTAAAAGACCTCTGAGATAACATCAAGAACACTGATATTTGCATTACAGGGGTCCCAGAAGGAGAAGAGAAAGATGGGGCCTGAGAAAATATTTGAAGAGATAATAGCTGAAAACTTACCTAACCTGGTAAAGGAAACAGTCACCCTAGTCCAGGAAGTGCAGAGAGTCCCATACAGGGTTAACCCTAAGAGGAATGCACCTAGACAAGCTGTAATTAAAATGACTAAAGATAAACAGAAAATATTAAAAGCAACAAGGGGAAAAGCAACAAATAACATACAAAGGAACTCCAGTGAGACTATCAGCTGATTTTTCAGCAGAAGCTACAGGCCAGAAGGGAGTGGCACAAGATATTTAATGATGAAAGGAGAAAGCCTATAACCAAGAATACACTACCCAGCAAGGCTCTCATTCAACTTTGATGGAGAAATCAAAAGCTTTACAGACAAGCAAATGCTAAGAGAATTCCACACCACCAAGCCAGCTTTATAATAAATGCTAAAGGAACTTCTCTAAGAGGAAAAGAAAAGGCCACAACTAGAAACAAGAAAGTTAAAAAATGGAAAAGCTCACTCTCACTGATAAAGGCAAACATACAGTAAAGGTAGGGAATCATCCACACACAAAGTAGTAGGAAGTTAAAAGACAAAGGTAGTAAAATCATCAGTATCCACAATAAGCAGTTAAGGGATTAGATGTAAAATATGAACAATTAGATGTAAAATATGATATCAAAAACAGTAATCATGAGAGGAGGAGAGTACAAATGCAGGGCATTTAAAATGCATTTGAAATAAGAGATCAGCAAATTAAAACAATCATATATATATGACTGCTCTACAAAAACCTTATGGTAACCATAAACCAAAAATCTATAAGATATATACACAAAAAAGAAATAGGAACCCAAATGTAACACTATAGTCACCAAATCACTAGAGAACAAAAGAAAACGAATCCAAAAAAATTAACAAAATAGCAATAAGAACATACATAATAATAATTACCTTAAATGTAAATAGACTAAATACTCCAACCAAAAGATATAGACTCGCTGAATGGATAAAAAAAGACCCATGTATTTGCTGCCTACAAGAGACTCATTCAGATCTAGAGACACAGAATGAAAATGAGGGGATGGAAAAAGGTATTCCATGCAAATGGAAATCAAAAGAAAGGTGAAGTAGCAATACTTGTATCAGACAAAACAGACTTTATAAGACTATTATTATAAGAGAAAGAAGGACACTACATAATGATCAAGGGATCAATCCAAGAAGAAGATATAACAACTGTAAACATACACGCACCCAACATAGAAGCACCTCAACGTATAAGGCAAATGTTAACAGACATAAAGGGAGAAACTGACAGTAACATAATAGTAAGGGACTTTAACACTCCCACTTACATCAATAGACAGATCATCCAGACAGGAAAATCAATAAACAAACACAGGCCTTAGATGACACATTGGACCAGATGGACTTAACTGATATTTTTATAGAACATTACATCTAAAAGCAGCAGAATACACATTCTTTTCAAGTGCACATGGAACATTCTCCAGGATAGATCATACACTGGGGCACAAAGCAAGCCTCAGTAAATTTATGAAAATTGAAATCATTATCAAGCATCTTTCTAACCACAATGCTGAGATAGAAACCAACTACAAGGAAAAAACCGCAACAACAACAATCCCACAAACACATGGAGGCTAACCAATATTTCTTCTTTCATCATTGAAGAAATCAAAAATACCTAGAGACAAATCAAAACAAAAACCAATCCAATGATCCAAAACCTATGGGGCACTGCAAAAGGGAAGTTTATAGTAATACAAACTTACCTCAGGAAACAGGAAAGATCTCAAACAACCTAACCTTACATCTCAAGCAACTAGAGAAAAGAACAAACAAAACCCAAAGTTAGTCAAAGGAAAGAAACCATAAAGATCAGAGCAAAAAAAATGAAATAGACTAAAAAACAAAACAAAACAAAACATCAATGAAACTAAAATCTGGTTCTTTGAAAAGATAAACAAAATTGATAAACCTTTAGCCAGACTCACCAAGAAAAAAGGGAGAGGACCCAATTCAATAAAATCAGAAGTGAAAAAGGAGAAGTTACAACCAACACCACAGAAACACAAAGGATCATAAGCGGCTACTATATGCCAATGAAATGGACAACCTAGAAGTAATGGACCAATTCTTAGAAAGGTACAGTCTCCTAACACTGAACCAGGAAAAAATAGAAAATATGAACAGACCAATTACCAGTAAAAAAAAAATTTAGAATCAGTAACTTAAAAACTCCCAACAAATAAAAGTCCGGGACCAGATGGCTTCACAGGTGAATTCTACCAAATATTTAAGAGTTAACACCTATCCTTCTGAAACCATTCCCAAAAATTGCAGAGGAAGGAACACTTCCAAACTTACTCTACGAGGCCACCATCACCCTGATACCAAAACCAGACAAAGATATCACACAAAAAAAGAAAATTACAGGCCAACATCACTGATGAACATAGATGCAAAAGTCCTCAACAAAATACCAGCAAACCGACTCCAACATTCATCATTATCAAGTGGGATTTATCCCAGGGATGCAAGGATTTTTCAGTATCCACAAATCAGTGTGATACACCACATTAACAAAGTGAAGAATAAAAACCATATGATCACCTCAAGAGATTCAGAAAAAGCTTTTGGTAAAATCCAACACCCATTTATGATAAAAACACTCCATAAAGTGGGCATAGAGGAAACATACCTCAACATAATAAAGACCATTGACTAATTCACAGCTAACATCATAATGGTGAAAAACTGAAAGCATTTCCTCTAAGACCAGGAACAAGACAAGGATGCCCAGTTTTGCCACTTTTATTCAGCATAATTTTGGAAGTCCACAACAATCAGAGAAGAAAAACAAATAAAAGGAATCCAAATTGGAAAAGTTACAGTAAAACTGTCACTGTTAGCAGATGACATGATACTATACTTAGAAAACCCTAAAGATGCTACCAGAAAACTATTAGAGCTCGTCAATGAATTCTATAAAGTTCCAGGATACAAAATTAATATACAGAAATGTGTTGCATTTCTATATGCTAACAACAAAATATCAGAAACAGAAATTAAGGAAACAATCCAATTTAACATCACACCAAAAAGAATAAAATGCCTAGGAATAAACCTACGTAAGGAGGCAAAAGAACTCTATTCCAAACACTCTAAGACACTGATGAAAGAAACTGAAGACAGCACAAACAGATGGAAAGATATACCATCTTGGATTGGAAGAATCAATATTGTTAAAATGGCCATACTACCCAACGCAATATACAGATTTGATGCAATGCCTCTCCAATTACCAATGGCATTTTTCACAGAACTGGAACAAAAAAATTTTTTAATTTGCATGGAAACACAAAAGACTCCAAATAGCCAGAACAATCTTGAGAAAGAAGAACAGAGCTTGAGGAATCATGCTTCCTGACTTCAGGCTATACTACAAAGCTACATACAATAATCAAAACAGTATGGTACTGGCACAGAAACTGACACATAGATCAATGGAACAGGATAGAAAGCCCAGAAATAAACCCACGCACTTATAGTTAATTAATCTATGACAAAAGAAGCAAGAACATAGGGTGGAGAAAAGACAGTCTCTTCAATAATTGGTGCTGGAAAAACGGGACAGGTACATGTAAAAGAATGAAATTACAGCATTCTCTAACACCATATACAGAAATAAACTCAAAATGGATTAAAGGCCCAAATGTAAAACCAGATACAATAAAACTCCTAAAAGAAAATATAAGCAGAACACTTTTTGACATAAATTGTAGCAGTATTTTTTGGATCCATCTCCCAAAGTAATAGAAATAAAAGCAAAAATAAACAAATGAGATCTAATTAAGCCCAAAAGCCTTTGCACAGCAAAGGAAACAAAACAAAAAGACAACCTATGGAATGGGAGAAAATATTTGCAACCAATTAGACTAATACAAGATTAATTTCCAAAATATACAAACAGCTCATACAGCTTAATGTCAAACAACCCAATCAAAAAATAGGCAGAAGACCTAAACAAATTTCTCCAAAGAAGACACACAGATGGCCAATAGGCACATGAAAAAATGCTCTATATCACTAATTACCAGAGAAATGCAAATCAAAAACACAATGCAGTATCACCTCACACCAGTCAGAATGAGCATCATCAAAAAGTCTACACATAATAAATGCTGGAGAGGGTGTGGAGAAGACAAAACCCTCCTACACTGTTCGTGGGAATGTAATTTGTTGCAGCCACTATGGAGTACAGTATGGAGGTTCCTTAAAAAACCAAAAATAGACTTACTATACAATCCAGCAATCCCGCTTCTGGGGATATATCTGGAGGAAAATATAATTTGAAAAGAGACACACATCCCAATGTTCATAGCAGCACTATATACAATGGACATGGAAGCAACCTGAATGTCCATTGACAGATGACTGGATAAGGAAGTTGTAGTATATTTATACAATGGAATACTACTCCGCCATGAAAAAGAATAAAATAATGCCATTTGCAGCAACATGGATGGACCTAGAGATTATCATATTAAGTGAAGTAAATCAGAGAAAAGGCAAATTTCATATGACATTACTTATATGTGGAATCCTAAAAAAAAATACAAATGAACTTACTTACAAACCAGAAATAGACTCAAAGACATAGAAAACAAACTATGGTTACCAAAAGGGAAAGGTGGGGAGGGATAAATTAGGAGTTTGGGATTAGCATATACCCATATAAAATAAACAACAAGGACCTAATGTACAGCATAGAGAACTATATTCAGTATCCTATAATAACCTATAATGGAAAAGAATTTTAAAAACATATATAAAAATATATACACACACCTATAAATAACTGAATCACTATGCTGTACACCTGAAACTAACACAACATTGTAATTCAACTATACTTTAATTTTCTTAAAAAGGGTTAAAACCAGGCCCAAGAACACCAAAGGCAGGAAAGGCAGAATCTTTAACAAATCTGGCCAAAACCATAAGCAAAAAGAAAAAAACCTCAACCACGGCCACTCTAATTTCTGCTGCTTCTCTTGTCCTATTCTTGAAACATCAAAATGGGAGTGCAGCGGCCACTGCTGCTGGTCACGTGGGGGTACAGAGGGGCTTGCTCTTAAGATCTTAATGACCAAATAAAACAGAAAGGGTGCTGCCTCCAGTGAGCAGCAAAGTGCACGCTGAGACACAGAAAGCCTCCTCATTTTCCTCCTGCCTTTCCAGGTCTGGAGTCCCTACGGGACAGTGCCCACTCCACCCCGGTGCGTTCCTCCTCCCACGGGGACACCTTCCTGCCTCACGTGAGAAGCAGCCGGGCAGACAGCAATGAGCGAGTCGCCGTGATTGCAGACGAGGCCTACAGCCCTGCGGACAGTGTGCTACCCACCCCTGTGGCCGAGCACAGCCTGGAGCTGATGCTGCTCTCCCGGCAGATCAACGGGGCCACCTGCAGCATTGAGGAGGAGAAGGAGTCTGAGGCTAGCACCCCAACTGCTGCAGAGGTGGAGGCCCTTGGGGGAGAGCTGAGGGCCCTGTGTCAGGGGCACGGCAGGCCAGAGGAGGAACAGGTGAATAAGTTTGTTTTAAGTGTCCTCCGTTTGCTCCTTGTGACCATGGGACTCCTCTTTGTTTTGCTCCTCCTCCTGATCATTCTTACTGAGTCTGACCTTGACATTGCCTTTTTCCGAGATATCCGCCAGACCCCCGAGTTTGAACAATTCCACTATCAATACTTTTGTCCCCTCAGGCGATGGTTTGCCTGCAAAATCCGCTCAGTGGTGAGCCTGCTTATTGACACCTGAGAAGGCATGACTCCTCCCAATAACTAGCCAGGTGGACCAAGGAGCCCAGCTACCCATTCCCAGCAATTGGGACCCATCGCGGAACCATCGGCACATGTACCAAGTCCTCCTCTCATGACTCAAAGTCCACAGCCTGGGAGGGTCATTTCCCAGAAGAAAAAAGGGATAGGCTCATGCCCTGTCTAAACAAACTGGGAAAACTCATTTCCTTCAGAGGTTCCTTCAAGAAAGGCTCGCGACTCTGTTTCTCATCCTCCCAATTTGCAGGATAATTTTTGGTTTTGAATTTTGATTTTTCATAGATGTGTATTATTTTGAGAATATCAAAAATAATTTATTTTACTATTACTGATTCTGGCATTAGTGTCACCTAGTAGATGGGACACTAGTTGAAGACTAGAGAGCTGCTGTCCTCTGAATTCTGCAGGAGCTTCCCCACTGGGTTCCAGTGGACACATCACTGCAGCCTCAGCGGGGCAGGCCAGGGGTCTGGACAATGGGGACTGTCTAGGTTTTCTTGCCAGGCAGAGCTTTTTAAAAAGTAAACATCCATGTAGAATGATTAAATGGAAAGTTGCTTCTTATGATGGTCTGAGTTGGATTTTCTTTTCCTTTTGTTTTGTTTTTTTGTTTTTTCAAATCTGAGCACAGTGGGCATCTGAAGGGACCACCGCTACAGAAGCAGCAGCAGCAGCAGGGGTGGGGTAAGTCCGTCCCCTTAGACTAGATCCTAGTGGCATCACCATGAGTTTTGTGTAATGAACTTAGACTTCTGTGATTTTTTTTTCTGAAGAACCTCAAGACTTTTACCGTGCTCCAGAAGCATTAGGTGAATTCAGTGGTGCCCAGGAGAGGGCTGTCAGAAACACTGAACTAAGCGTAGTTTACAGAAACCACAGCTAAGGTACCTGAGAGACTGTTGAGATTCAGAGAGCAGTACTTATTTTGTACACCCTCTTCCCTGCCAAAAAAGACTATTTCAATTTATATTTTAGCAACAAAATGTTATTTTCTTACCAATTCATATTCTCTTTTTACTTTATGGATTAAGAAAATAGAGCCTGATGAACTTAAACGATGCAAGAAAGAAACTGATCCTGAGAATGAAAAGCTTCAGAAAATAGAATTTCAAAATCAACAAACAGCCTTGGAAGGGACCAGGAAAAGAATCTCTTTAAATAGGAGTCCTAAGAGATGCCTACAAAAGAAAGAAGGTGAATATGGCAGACCAACACTTAGATGTAGGAATCCTGCCCCCTAGGGTCATCCTCTGCACCAGGAAGGTAAACGCTGTAGGAAAGCCCTTGCCGTCCTTGCTGGGGGAGCGGCAGTCATGGGCAGAAAGCAGCACAGCACGGGAAGGGTGAGCGTGGGGTCCGAGCCGAGCTCTGCAGCTCTCACAACCACTCACACGCAAGACTTGTTTTCATCTCAGGGAGAGATTTCTATGTCATCTGGGGCCTGAGGACTTATTTAAGGACAGTCAGTGGACATATTCCTCGGATCCACATAACAGTGGAGCAGCTGCTGACACCCTGTGACGCTGGGCAGCCCCAAATGCAGAACAGAATGAGGCACTTGTAGATTTGCTGTCCCCTTATTTGTCCCCTGAAATGGCAGAACCATGTCTATGAATAGATTACAACAGCCATGAAATGGGGTTTTTCTTTTTTTTAAGGTGGGAGGATTGCTGCATAATTTTAAACACCCTTTCATCTAGACCAGGGGTCGGCAAACTTCTATAAAGTGCCAGATAGTAAATTTTTTTTTGGTTTTGGTTTTGTGGGCCCTACTCTGTGGCAACTACTCAACTCTGCCGTCTTAGCACAAAAACAGCCATAGGTAATACATAAACAAAGGAGCAAGGCTGTGTTCCAGTACAACTTTTATTTATAAAAACAGACGGTGAGCTGAATTTGGCCCACAGGCCATAATTTGCCAACCCCAATCTAGACAAAACTGCTCCTTATGAGTGTGTAAGCAGAAAGAGGGTCAGGTCTGCTTCAATTCCTGACACGTGGTAAAGCCCCAGGACCATTTCCCAGTAGAAGCACTGGGGTGGCTTAATTAAAGGGTGCTCGAACAACCAACCAGCAGAAAAGTCTGATGTCAAGATGAGCAGGAACGAGGACTGGAATGCTAAAACGCAGCCAGGATCTAAGAACAGGAGAGGGCCTGTCTGATCATTTCCATACCAGCAACAATTTGGGAAGAATTACAAACATTTTGCAAGTGACAAGACAAAAACTGAAGGAGATCTTAGTAAAGATTAGGGATCACTTAGAACCAACGAGCCACTGCCACTTGTCATCTACACAGGAAAGGTTGTATTAGCACAGGACTGGAGTGACAAGGAGACTCAGATGAAAAGGCTGTCAGGAGATAGGGGGCTGGTTTTAACCTGGGTATTTACTGTCTTATGCAACATAGCAGATTACCTTTTAGTGTAGTGTTCCTACCTCAGTCTGTAGAACATGGTGTTTCTATGCAGTGAGTGATAGCCTCGACTCTGACCTTTCATACTCACATTAAAGAAAGACGCAGTGTTCCATCTCCTGGTACGTTACTTGTGTCTAGAGTTCTAATAGTAAACTAGTCCATACCACTTCCAACAGCTGGACTTTGCTCTCTGAACTGAAACTTTCGGGGGGTATTTTTCCCCAGGGCTTATCCCACAAAATACAGATAGAGAAGTTTCCTTCAATTTGCTCTTCAAATAGTGCTTGAATAACAAACCTTTGTTGGTGACTAGTCTTTTTTGGTATCTCCCCGTCATTAAAAATTGTTCAAGTTTTTATCCTGGTTTTACTGTGTTCCACTATGTCTCCTATTTTCTCTCAAAATTAGTTTGATCTCACTGTAGAAAAAGCAATGGTTTCCATAGCTTCATCTATCAGAGGAAATAAAACTCTTACTAAAGAATAGTGTACTGCATCTTTAAGCAGTAGAAGGTAAACTACCTGCAAATGTGAATTTCTTAGTTTCATTAAGAAATATATAGTTGTTAACCTTTTGTGTGCCAAAAAGTCTAAGTTACATTTTCCTTCAAAGCAATGTACTTTTTTCTACATATGCAGTATGTAGTTAGCATAAAATCATTGGTGCCATGAAAATTATTTTTAAACTTAAATAAATATTTAAATATCATAGAAGAGTGGACTCTTTTTTTTTAACTTACACCCTGTCTCACTTTCTCCTAAAAGTTAACAACACACAGATAAAAGAGTACCAGTGGGATTTACACTGCTGACTGCTGTTTGCAACTGGAATCATTTAAAATACTCACTTTGCTTATAGTCATCTATTATCTTTGTCTCTCCCTCCAAAAATAAATACTATTAAGAACTTAGAAGCTGTAAGTGTGGAATAATTTTAGAGATGAACTGAACCTCATTTTTCTGATGAGGAAAACCAAGAAATTATTTTCCCAAGGAAAATAATTACACCGTCTTAGAGCCCAAAGTAGAACCTAGATGTTCCAGCTTCTAGACCAGCATTCTGAAGGCTGGAGTAAGAGAACAGAAGACCCTTCCCAAGAAGGGAACAGAATGATACCACCACTGCAGTAAGAAACCTCATATTTACAACTTACGAAATACATCCCTTTAACTGTCTCATCTGATTCTGTAACCATCACTCTGTGGCCACAGACTGGTAATAGTCCTCTAAACTGCCTGAAGACAAAACGTGAAACAAGGGTCCACTGTCCTAGCTTATTATCTAATCTTCCTGCTTTCAATTCTACATGCCCTCCAGCCCTCCATTCTGCCACCAGATCATCTTCTAAAGCACCAATCACTTTATGCCACTCACCTCCAAATTCTAAGAGGTTCCTATTACCTTTAAAATGATATCCAGTGCCCTGTTCCCAGTGAAGTGTTGTTGTTAATGACAAATGTCTTTGCTTAAACTGATCTGAAGAGTAAAAAGCGTGAGAACCACCGGACATGAGAGGTTTTCCGTGATCCTACAGATTTACAGCCACCGCCGTTCTCTGGATAACTAATGAAGACTGACCTACACACACACCCTTTCAGGGCCCCGACCCCACCCCTGCTACTTAGGCTTCCTCAACCACAACCCAACCCCGTGCACCCCAACACACTGGTGGTTTTAGCTCATGAACAGGCTTCCCCTACAAACTCCTACAACGTGCTGATGGAGTGGAGTCAGACACACAAAAGACACTTCCCAAACATTTCCGCTCACATAGCTCCCATTTTAGGAAAACATATTTTAAAATGTTTTATTCCTCACCCTATGTAACTGTGCTAATGTTATCTTCCTCACAAATTCCACCTTTTCATCTGAAAATTCAAGTATTTGCAGCCAAATGAACCAGAATTATGAGTAGATGCTATCATAGAACTAAAACTCATTATTGGTCATCAACTCTGTACTAAAAAGGAGAAACAAAACTATATTAAGTCAGAGGGACAGCTTACAAAACAGGATGCCTAAGTTTTTGGAATTTGAAGACAGAAGGCATAATATTTTTCCATCTCGAGTTTGATACAGAAGGTGCATGTCTTTGCCCTCCCCTTCTTCCCATGTACTGTACACTGGCTGAAAGTATTTAAATCTTTCTGTCTGCGGCCCTGAAGTTCCTGGTTTTCCTGGAGAACTGCCTTTGCAAAGTCATCTCTGTGCACAGGTAACGCAAAGGCCAGAAAACTAAAATAGGACTTTAGCAACTCAGATTCTATCAAATCCTAATCATCTGTGGTCTGTCTTAGTCTGACCAAGTCTCTGTCCACCCAAAATGAGAATCACCTCCTTCCTCCTTAACATCACATTAAAAAAAGGGTCAGGCATCTCAAAGAAAATAACTCCATGATGAGAGATCATAAACGTCAACTAACAAAAGGTTTATGCGGAAGGGAGAGAGCAATCATAATACATGCATGGTTACAGAGGCCACACGGCTTCAAGCAAGTCTCTGGGAGAAGGGTCTTTCACAATAGCATACAGTTTAAGGATGTCCTAAGGGAGACAATTTTCCTTTATGTGCTTTCTAGTTTTGAACAATTGCTCTATTATAGAGCTTACCACCAAGAAACAAGTCCCCCACTCACCCTCCTTCTCTCCTTCCTGCGTTGCCTCCAGAAGACAGATCTCTATTAAGTGGAATAGGATATAAATAGCACAGCTTATGAAACTACGATGGCAAAGCAAACCACGAAAGTGAGAAACATCAAGAATTTGCTAACATTCATCACAGAAGCCAAGCAATTACCACAAAGTATTCAAAGCTTAAACCAAGGTACTAATTTGATTGAATAGTTTTCAACATCTTGAAAAAAAGAACAATTCTCACAGAACTAGTCACCCTAGAATCTGTAAAATTAAGTAGTGTAGAAAAGGAAAAGGGAGCTTAAAGCCTTCACTTACTATTTCCAGGATAGTTTAAATATACCTCAACCTAACTTAGCCTTACTTAGCATTTCATAAATTAATATCTCCCTCTTGCTTATCAATGCCTGCATTCATATCTATTACCAAGAAAATAGAGAAATCCTATTCCTTATAAACACCTACAACATATTAATAAATTAAGCCTCAAAACTTAGACTTTAATTACAAAAAAGGAAATTATTTAGGAAAAAAAGTTCAAGGAAACGATGTGTCACTTTATTTCTGTGATACATAATTATGAGAAGATAATATTTCCTCTTAGAAATCAAATATATTGCTGAAGCTATTTACAGTAGTCTTTCAGTAGTAGTTTGGCAATGAAGAACAACGAAAGAAGTTGGACAGGTAATGTCACAGAGCAATATTAGTCACTGATTTAGTAGCTTCCCTTCCAACAACAAACACATTCAAAGTGCCATAGCTGCTGAAAAAAAATCTACGAAGCAGTGCCAAAGGTGGTATTTCACAGCACTTCCCCAAGCTGCTGAATCTCTGGAGAGATTAAAGACAGGGATGGATAAGACTGTCTGGGACCTTCTAAGGCAGGAGCTTTCACTTCTTTAACCATGACCTGCAGTACCATAGTAATAAAGAAATACATTTTATGTGAGAATATACGTATGCATATATACCTACAAATATGTATACATGTGGAACTAAGCTTCACAAAAGGATATTTATTCTCAATTATGTTTGCTATTCTTTACTATTTCTCTCCTTTTCACTTTTTTTAAACACTGGTCATGGTCACTTAATTGATTTCACGCATATAGCTACAACCCACAGTCTGGGAGACACTGGACTATGGGGATCAGGTATATCCAAACCCTGTGCCTAGAAACCCTGGAATTTCCTGGCTGTGTCTCAGAGGGGAGGGAAGGGAAAGGGTCAACACACAGACCCAGGCCCTGCCCAAGTAAAGCAAAGCTTCTCAGCAATTATCTTGGGATTTCACATAAGATTTAATCTACACTGTGCTATACACCAGAAATTAACACAACATTGTAAACCAACTATACTTCAAATTGAAAAACAAATGTTTTTAAAAAGATTTAATTTAAGGAAGGGGGAAAAAGGTTGTCAGCTTAAAAAACTAAGTTTCAAAACCACGGAGTTAAATGACCTTTCAGCACCCCTTCCAGTGTATGAGTCTAGAAATAAATATTCATTCCAAACAATCAAACCACAAATTTATATACCACTATAGAATCAAAACCACAAAAAACTTTTAATGTTGATCATTCAAAGCTTTATAATTTATAATGTTAGAATTTCTCAACATACTGCCTGATTAAAAGTGCTAAAGGCATCACAGTCTCCCCTCAAATTCCCCTCCTATCCTAGAGAAACAACCTCTAAGGCTTCTTCCTTACTAAAAGTACATTCTGTTCATAGTTCTTAGTAACAAAGCAATTCTACACTTGCTAAATAGAACACATTATGAAGTAAACAGCGAAGTAAACAGACTAGGCCACATGAATTACTAGGCTCTTTAGACGGTGATTAACTTGAACAAACTGGTGTCGCCAAGCCA